TAAAAGCCCAATATGCAATATCCGACAAGTATTTTGAATATTAATAAGAAGATGAAATGTTGCAATTTTTGCTTTACTTTTGAGCTCGAATATAGTCAAGAATATCAATTTCTGATTGCTGGGAAATCTTTAAAGAGCTTTGCTCATCCTCAGTTGTTAGTTGTCAGTTGTCAGATGTCAGTAACCAGATATTTGTATTGCACTCTATTGGGTCTTTGAGCAGCTCTTGCTTAAGTTAATTAACCCAATACTTAACTGGCTGATTGAGCCTTCAAGTCAAGAGCCTTCAGCTTTTGGCTTTGAGCTTTGTGCGTTGCCTTCAGATGCAGTTCGAATTCACTTGAAGGGTTAAAGCGAGTCTTTTATCTATATGAGAGTGTGTGTGCCTGTGTGTGTATGTGTATCGGAAGCGTCAAAGAGCAGGCCGAAACTAAAGACAGACCGCAGGCAACGCGCGAGTCCTGCTGGTCCTGTTGGCTTTCCATTTGGCGCGGCGAGTGGAAATCAATAAATAAAAAAGAGAAGTGCAAAAAAAAATATTGTGGTTACAAAAGGGGAAGGTGGTATGGAGGGGGGAAGGTGGGGGCTTAGAGTGAAGCAAGCATCCGTCAGATACGCGCAGCATGCGAAAACCTTTTAGTTATATTAATTTCAAATTCGCAGCAAACACTTGCAAACTCCCTCCTCCCCCTCCACTGCCTAGCCGCTATGACCCCATGCTGCACTAGAGCGCCCACATAGCCATGCCACGCCCATTTTTCTATTTTTATTTTCGATAACTTTAGTGCGCGTCAGGGCGTTGAGCAAAAGTCGTAAAAATTCTTATGAGCTCTACTTGAATTGGCCTACATTTGCCATGGGGGCGGGGGTAGTTGGGGGTAGTTGTGGTCTGGCAAATTTACAACAATTGCAGACCTTGGCCCTGACTGCTGCCCAAATTGATCTTGTCGCATAATTCTCGCAGCAAATTGCTACAGCGATTTATCTTGTTGCCAATTAGCCGCCAGCGACGCGGCCAATAACAATTGCCGTTGGCGTTTTTAATTAGAAAATGCGCGCAGACAAAAAGCTAAAAGCCAAAAGCAGAGCATGGCGCATACTTCAAGTCTACCCGCACCCCCCCCCCCCCAAACACCACCTACGCCCTCATCCTTTTTTGGCTGCCGTGCCGCATTTGTCTGTGTGGCAGCAAGGTGTAAAAACTAATTATATTAAAACTGCCACGAATTCAATTGCATTGACTGCAATGTGGCGTTGGCTCTCCCTCTCTCTCTCTCTCTCTCTCTTGCACTCTACCACTCTGTCTCTCTCACACTCTGTGCGTGTGTGTGTGTGTGTGTTGAGTGCAAGGCGTGAGCTGGCAACAATAACAACAGCAAATATAGCTGCAGCAGCAGGAACAACAGTTCAAGCGCAAATTGCGAGCAAAAAAATGTGTGGCATACATTTCAGCGTCGGAGCCTTAATCAATGCCAAATTGCAAAAAACCTTTCGGAAAAACGGATGAAACGCTTACTGCCTGCTGCCAAAAAAAAGTGAGAGAGACAGAGAGAGAGAGAGAGATAGAGAGAGACAGAAAGTGAGACACAGTTTGCCCTTGTTGCATTATATATACAAGTACATATGTATTATAATTACACGTTAACCACAACAAGGAAGAAAGAATTTTCACAAAAATTCTTTTCCGTTGCAGGACAGTCATTTGTGCACCCGAATTGGGTTTATAACAGGCAGAAGGAAGCATTCCCGACTGCACAAGGTAGATATATATATATTCGTGATCAGGGTGAACCAAGCCAAGTCAATTTTGCCACGTTGTTGTAGAATATAAAATGCCAATTGAATTTCTTTCAGTATACCTTCAATTTTTCCCGTTTTACGAATATCGATCAAAATCGATATTCGATTGCACTAAAAAGTTGTCTTTGTAGGAGCTGAGTTCAACTCTCTCGACTAGAGCATTCCAACTCGTTCTTACTGCTAATTTGGTCAACTGAATTTTGGCCAAAAGGGTCTTTGCCAAACAGAGAAAGATAGACAGTCAGGCAGGCAGCCAGATGAACCAACTGAAGCTTACATATATAATGGAGAGCAGTTATCTTTTCAGTATCCTTAAGGACAAAAGAGAACTCAGCTGTTAGCCTTGATCGATAATATGCACTTCACTTATGCAGTGTCTGAGATGTCTTCAGCTTTCAGCGTTCAATTACACTCATTTGACCAAGTGGCCACTTTCAATATGCAATCACCTCAAAAATTAATTCAAAATGCACTGCAAATTATACAGTTAGGTTTGAATGACATTTCTCTGCATTATTATTAAGGCCCCGCAACCCGCAGACCAAATTGAACAACGCACAACACAAGTCTGGCACACACCTCAAATTCACACACACTTCACACTCGCACACCAAAACCAATCACTTCGCAATTTAAATCGAAGGCAAAATCCAAAAACAACAAAAACAATTGCATTCAAAGTTAAACAATTCAAGTGGACTATGTAATACTCTGCCTAAAGCCATTGCGGAGAATTAGAGTTGTAAACGTAAATTCAGATGGAAAGCAACGAATCCACTTGCCTGGGAATGTTGAAGGTTATTCGATTTGGTATCCCCAAATACGCTATGAAAGTGGCATGCACACAGTTTTCTTACGAAAGGGTATCAACGAGTCGGCGCGAACACTTGCGACTTTTGCAATCACTTTGATTAGCGAGTACTGAGACGACAGCGTAGAGGTTGGCGTAGGGCTAAAGTGAAATTCGTGTAACGAATAATTTCCATTAAATTGTACAGAACAATTGTATGCAATGTGCGACGTGTGGCAAGTAAGCAGCGAGGATCCAGTGGTTGATTTACAGATTGCGTCTTGCGCCTGAATTGAACGCGATGAGCGAGTAAATACTCAATGCTATAACGAGCAACGAGAAATTATTAGCGAGTAACAGCGAGTAATGATTAGCGATTAACAACGAATAATGATTAGCGAGCAACGAGTGGGGCAAATAAAAGAAAATAGTGATCAACATATAAAGCAGACAACAGATTAACTTTCGACCCTATTTATTTGTACTTGAAGACAATAGAAGCTATCAAGGCATCTAAGACAGAAACAATGAAAATGTGAAAATCTTTGTTATTATTATTATTATTTTTTTGTCGTTTCTGTCTTGGCATCATTTGTATGCAAATGAAGTGAGAATCTAATTATAGGAAAATATGCACGAAATCTAATGAAAAAACAAACAATAAGCGACTCTCGCTCTCTGTCTGTCGCTCTGTGTGTGTGTGTCTGTGTGTGTGTGTGTGTGTGTGTGCAAATGAAAATGTTTATATTATGTGAGTGATTACATTATGTACAAGCAGACATACACACACACACACACACACAGGCACACACACTTGGCATGGATAAGCCAAGGCAAGACGAAGACAATTTGTAATGCGCCAATAAGAATTTATATCACAAGCTTTACTCGCACGACTTCAACGAGCGTTCCCCAAAAAAACGAGGAGAACATCAGATAACGCCAGACAGGGGGGCTGGCGAGGGAAGAACAAGAACTAGAACGAGAAAGAGACCGAGGCCGAGGCCGAGGACTGGGAGTAAGTACGAAGTACGCCAACGCGTTGTTTCGCGCTTCCCACTGATAAGCACAGACACAAAGAAGAAAAAAAACACACAGCAACTCCAGCAGCAGCAGCAGCAGCAGAAGCAGCAGCAATGCGACGCGCTGATTGCCAACGATACAAACAACGCTAAGCAGCAGCAGCAGCAGTGGCAGCCGCAGTCGCAGCCGCAGCAGCAGCAATCGCAGTGAAAGCAGCAGCAGCACGTGGCTCTATGTGGCAAGCATCGTCAAGCGTTGTAATTCGTTGAAAAATTGCCGACGATTGGCGACGTCGGCAGCGCAGCGATGACGATGCGCATCGGGCAATTTATGCGAGTATAAGAAGAGTATAAGAGCAGCAACAGCCGGCTAAAATACTGAGAAGGGAACAGAATTCTTAGTGCTTCTCCAACTGGTAACAGAAATGTCTGTCGAAGAAAGTGTCACAAGTTGAATAAAGCTTATTTTGATTAGTAAATGATACTATACTATATAATGATACTATATGAACTATGAATTACGTAGACTCTTTGTCAGCCAAATGAATATATGAATAAAAATGTGCTGCGCTTAAATATACAATTACTGTTTATGTGTATGTAAATTAATGTATAATAAATGTTTATAGACCAACTAGAAAGTGTACTTGATATATAAATGGGAAATAATTAGTTATATAATAAGAAAAATACGTTAAACGAATATTTCCCATTTCAAAATATATCCCAGGAAAAGTAGGCTAGCATTCGACTTATACGAATATACCCAGTATTAGTCGCACTTGGGCGTTCGGCTTTTGTGTTCGTCAAAACGACGACGAGACGAGAACGTTGGCGAGGCCAATGCCGATTGCTGTTGTTCAGGTTGCTGTTGTTGTCGTTGTTGCCAGTGCTGCTTCTGCTGCTGCTGCTGCTGCGCGACTGGCGACGTCTGTATGTGTGTGTGTGTGTGTGTATGTGTGTATGCTTAGGCAGAGCCGCGTTGCATATCGTTTGGCGCTGCTATCAGCAGTTCAGCAGTGACACAACTCAGTTTCAATTCGGATGCAGATACAAACGGACGCGTGCGCTCGCTCCACGTTTGAGAAACCCCAAACATTTTTGAAGAACGCGTAAACAAAAACTCTGATTTTGCAACAGCAAAAAAAAAAACATAATAATAATATCAACATCAAATTACAAAATACAAAAGAAAAAAAAGATCTGAAAGTATTTTAAACTAATTTAACAAATACCACAAAAAAAAAAAAATTAAATAATTTAATACAAAAAAAAAAAAAAACACAATAAAATAAATCGCGAGTTGAGATAATTTTTTTAAAGTTTGTTTGTCTTTGGTTTTGTGGTGCATTTGCAAAAATCGCTAAAAGAAAGAGAATTTTGAAAAACGAAAAGCGAGAATAGAAAAGAAAACACATAAGGAAAAAAAGTTGGTCACCGGAAATGAAGGATGTCAGTTTTGCGCACATCGAAGAAAGCAACGGAAATTAAAATTTGCATGTGCAGCCGCCTGCAGCAGGACATCGACAGAGACAGCAAGAGAGAGGGAGAGGGAGAGGGAGAGAGACAGAGCTAGTGCGGAGTGGGTCAACAATGTGGCAACAATGTGGGCAACACACGAAAGCCGGCTGCTGCTGCTGCTGCTACTGTTGCTGCCATTGCTGCCAAATCTCAATGAAGCCGGCAATCGAATTCAGCACTCAAAAACTCGGCTCCAAGCTGTTTTCTGAATAAACTTGACAGCCAACTAAAATCCAAAAACGTACACCACATCCAAATTGAGACATATACAGATAGAGAGAGAGAGAGACAGTGAGGGAGTGAGAAAGAGAGAGAGAGAGACCGAGAGATCTGTTGTACATTAGTCGACAACGAGATAAAACGCCCAACGACATTGACAACGTCATCAACTGCTGCCTGCTTCATCAGCAGAGCTAAACGACTTCTTTTTTTTTTGGTTTATTTTTTTTTGGTTTTCGTTTTTTTTTTTGGTGCAACTTGCAAACTTGCCAGCAGCCCGCCACCTTTGCAGCAGTGATGGCATTGCAAGGACAAACGTTCTGCTTCTCGGCAGCTGGATTTATCGCTTGCTCAGCAATCGTTCTGCTTTGCAGTTCCGGTAAGTGAAATATGGTCTCGCAACGAACCAAAATAAACCAGAATACATTTTTACACGCATCAAGTGACCGACCGGCTGATACCCTGTAGGCGATTGCAATGGGATTGCAATGAATAAATAAAATTAAATAACACAAATGTGAATTACATTTTAATTAATTTTACTATCTTTTTATAATTAATTGTTATTTATTTTTTATAGACTTTGTAGGAATGCAACTAGAGTAGTAAATGATAAGAATTGCAGTAGCTTAAGTCCGATTGTGAAATGACAAATGCTTATCACGGTTTTTTTTTTATTATCTTTAGAGTATGATTAAGAGTATCAAATGTTCAGAATTGTTGTAGCTTGAGTCCAATTGGGACCATAGATTGGCTTTGCTCGCAGTTGCTCTCAAGCCAAGTAAGTCCTATCTATATTCTGAAATATACTACGCTTGTGGAATAATTCACTTCAGTCCAACTGTAAGTCTACAGGGTATTACAAAAAGAAATATACATATATATGGGGCGAAAGAAACTGAATACAATGCAAGCGTGGCAAAACTTGCAGTTCCTCAAAAACTGTTTATTCATTTATACATTCACTCACTCAGTCACTCACCGACTAACCGATTCACTCACTCACTCACTCACTCACTCACTCACTGAGCCAGTCCTTCATTCAGTCATTCATTCAGTTGAGCCTGGCCAGTTGTTCAAGCAGGCAAACAGCTCAACTTGTTGTTGTACTTTATTCCATTTGCTGTTCCTGCTCCTGTTTCTATTTATGTTATTGTTGACGTTGCATCTAGCAATGAAAACGTCATCGAATCTAAAATGTTGTCCTAGCAACGTTATACACACACACACACACACTCACACACACACACATACTGCTAATACAAACTAGAGGGCACAGGGCAGAAGAGGAAGACAAGAAGCTTAGTAACAGCAAGTTGAACAAATTGCAACTGCTGCAAGTGCAACACTGTATAGCTGCAGCAAGTGTTGAGTTAATGCATTTTGTTGTACAATAACATAAATATTTTTTCGGTGCTCTTATTGCCACTTGTGCTCTACGTGCTTCTTGCACTTGCCTCTACTACTTGCCCTCCCCTTCCTCCGCCAAATACAATAAGAATTGTGTGCTAATCAAAATCATCAGAGCAATCTTCCGCCAGGAATAAGCTCAAAATACTTGAAAACTGGTAACCAGTAGATTCTTAAACCGCTGCTTAACCTTCTAGTACCCCTCTAGCTCCGTTTCGCCGAATTTTTTATTTGTTTTTGTCTAACTTGGAAAGACTCTAAAATGATTAGATTGATAATTGGTGAAATTGAAATAAATGCAAAAATTGCCCACAGTTGATCATAAATATGTTTGTCGTGCTGCTGGGAGTCTTCAAAACAAAAAAAAAAAATGGTTCTGACGACATTTTTGTAGGACGTTCAGGATAAGCGAGTAAACGTAAAAAAAAGAAAGGGTTAATTGTAGGAGCAGTATATGCCAGAGCTTGTGGCTCGCCTTTTGATTTTTCTTGATTGTGATTGAGTTTGCTTTTTGGGCCAGCTTTTAAACGAAACCATTTATTAGCATAATACTGTAATTTAAAAAAAAAAAGGACTCAGCTGCACATACGTTATGGGAACTAGAAGAAGAAGTTTTCTTTTAAGTTTGCTTTTACGCATTCGAAAGTATTTTGTACATTTTTTTATTTTGTGCTTGAAAACATTGTTGTTAATTGAAATGCAGTAGTTTTTTTTTCAGATAAAAATCATCTAAAATGTAACGTTTCAATATGTTTTTCAAAGTGGAAAAATGCTTTGATTGTAAAATCTCTGGCCTATGTTTTTCTTAAGTCAATAACTGCTTATATTTTAGAGTTTTTACGAAAAATTGTGGTAACACATTGACAATAAATGAATTTACGGAATTTACAATCAACATTTTAATCAATTTACAGAAATTGCGCAGTTTGTGGTGAGAATTACCTATGATTAAATACTTACTTTTAAATGATTGAATTAAAATCAATACACACTTGCAACAACAGAGAGTGGCAAATAGCATATAGCTGTAAGTAGAAGGATTCATTACAGTAATATTTGTTCAGGTATTCTACCTGTATGCATTTTGCATCAAGTGCATTTTTCTCTGTATATTGTTGTTAATAAAGTGCAGTCATCACTTGAAATTGACCAACTGCATTTTTGTTTATATTTTATTGAGCTAAGTGGCTGTTTGGCTGGGTGGAGGAAGGGAAGAGCAAATGCGATTTCAGAAATCATAAACACATTTTGTGCAACACACAATCACCTTTTTTTGCACAATTGTAATCTGAAAACCAATTAAAATTCGAAATAAAAGTGTCAGGTTTCATTTTTTGTTATACAATTTCTTTTTCATTTAACTTTCTGATGAACTTCAGTTTGTGGCAAGCGTTGACGCACTCTTATCTTATCTTATCTTATATCGCTATTTGTTGACATAATGAATGCGACTAAAATATAATACTTAACTTTGTTCATATTCGAAAAAAATGAAATGAGTTTTGAACATTGTATGCACATACAATACAAGCAAATACAATATGTATGCCACATGCCACATACTTATAGGCAGGCCATGTGGCAACATTATTTCTTATAGAATATCGAAATAGAGCGATGAAGGCGTTACAGCAAACTGCACGCAGCACAATCAAATTGTCTGGCTGGCTGACTCTTTGACTCCTTGACTCTTTGACTAGGTTGCTTCTGCTGCTTTGTGCCTTTTGCCTTCTGCTTGCTGTTGTGGTTTATGATACCATTAAGCCCGAGGGTTGGTTTGACAAATTGTGCAAATTATTGTGTTAAATTTGCCCTTGAGGTGAAAAATCACTTTGACATGGCGCAATGCCATGGATTATATTTTTATTTTTTTCCCCCCTCCTCTATGATGATGTGTCTGGGTGTTTAGCTGATTGTGCACACTCTCTGTGTGTGTGTGTGTGTGTGTGTGTGCTTGTATGTTAGACAGGCCGTGGGCCAATAATGGCGTCTGACAATCGACAAATCGACAAATGAGAAGCTTAAAGGCAGTTGTTGTTCTTGTTGTTTTGGCTTTAAAGGCCAATGCCACACACTGAATGTTGCATGCAACGCCACCAATTGAGCCGGCTTTTTTGGCTAGCCACTTAATCCGCGTCGAGGCGAGCTCGAAAATCACGGCACATACACTCAACGAAAATAATCTGCTCAAACTTAGTCTCTCACTTTATTTAGAGAAGTATTCGTATTTTCTCTTTTATTAATTGAATGCATTTCTTTTCCTCCCTCCCTCTCTCTCTCTCTCTCTCTCTCTCTCTCTCTCTCTCTCTCTCTCTCTCTCTGTGTTCCATAAATCGGGAACGTTTCGTTTGTTTTCGCTCAGTGTGGTATTTAGAAACTTGTGAAAACTTCGGCGATTCTTTACAACCATTTCGAATGCAGCGTTGACGTGACTCGCATTACATTGCACACGTGTGCCACGCCCACAAACGGGGCCCATCCTCTCCATCTCCGTTGGCTTCCAATGCGCTCTGTTGCTTATTATCGAAATTGTATATGCCACAAACTGCAGCGCCAACTTCCTGGCTCACTTCCCCTCTCCCTTAGGCGTCTGACTACCAAATATTTTTTTGTTTCCCCACCTTTCTTGCCAAAGTTTTTGCCAGCAACTTATTAAGATAGTTGGATAGTTGGTTAGTTGGCGCGTCTAGACGGTTTTTAGTCAAATTATGGTTTTCAAACGTTTCGGTGTTTTTTCTAGCCGCATCGACTCACAACCTCTATTGTCGCTCACTAACAAACTTAAACTTAACATGAGCTTTTTGTTACCACAATTATTTGCATATATGTATGTGTGTGTGTGTGTGTGTGTGTGTGTGTGTGTGTGTGTGTGTGTGTGTGTGTGTGTGTGTGTGTGTGTGTGTGTATGTGTGTTTACTGGAATGTCAAGGAATTGGCCATTAGAGTGTCGGCCGACAAGCGGCTCGAAGCCCTGCAATTTGCCACTGTAAATTATGCTACCAGAAAGTGTAGCACGCTTGTTGCCGGCACCTAATGGATGGGGGAGGAGGTTGGGGAGGTGGCTGAGTTTTGTTTGTTTTCGGCTCGTTTTTTTTATGCATTTTCTTTTTTGCCATTTTGCTTGGCGACCTTTGAAACCACAAATCTGGTCAGCTTTTAAATATTAATACCAAAACTTCTACACACATTGCCCCCAAACCCAAATGCATGCTTAATTTTAAATTTATTTTTCAATATTTGGTGTGCAGGCAATGGCCCAAATGGTCCCTTATTATTATTAGAATGTCATCCATATGTCTACTTAATCATGATTAACTCAATGAGCTCAGCAAATAGTACAACCCAATCCACAATCATTTCTGTGCCTTTTTTTTATATCTAGTTTATACTTTCTAGATAGGTAATTTAATTAAATCTAATATCAGAGACTGAAAATGACACCATTAGAAAAATGTGCAATGTACGAAGTAATAGTGATTTAGTTTGTATGAGAGCTGGACCTATCAAACATTTAAGATCGACATCTCAAATCGATGAATGGGAAACTCAAATTCTAAATCCATGTGGGAAATGATGGCCAGAAGTGAAACGCACTGCAAATAGAAACCATGCTAAAGCACTAAGCCGCATACACAAAAAAAAATTTATATACATATTTAAATATGTATATATATATATATATATATATATATATATATATATATAGGTAGAGTGAAGGTTTGGGAATATGCATAGCATAAACTTTTGCTGCTAACTCATCGCGTGAATTGCACATTTTTTGTAGCCCTATGTTTTATTTACTGTTTGTTGTTCCCTCTACTTTTCTAGCCTGGCGCGGGTATTTCAATTCTGGCACAAAAATTGTTCAAATCAAGACAGCAATCATCCGGTACTCGTAACTGAAGCTAACTAAATCGTCTGCGATATATTGTGATAAGACATGATAAACATCTTAAGGTTTTTATATGC